TAAATAAAATAATTACAAAAACAAATATTTTTATTTCATAAAATTAACACGTTCATTATATATTTTACATCTATGATTTGATTCTAAAATAGGGTTAATAATGTTTGATGTTAACTGAATTCTTCTACGGAAACGGTGTCTATCGACGGCAGAATTCTCCCAATACCTCATTCTCGCGACTCTGTGCTCTTCGGTCCACATGACTATAAAATGAATTTTATCAGGTTCATCACTAAATCTAACTTTTTTTCATTATGCGGTGATTCTGAATAATCTCTCAATTTATTGTTCTTTTATACATTCACTTTTAAATACATCGGGGTAAATATACATAAATTCCAGAACCATACAAATATTCTCACTATTGGGATTTCCTTGAGGTTGTAGCACTTTTAAAGCATTAATTATAACATCACCATCCATATTTTGTATTCCGGTTCTTATAATTTTGAAGTAACTTGTAAAATGTTGGTTTTTCAACAAATCCAATCTATAATTAATAAGCGGTAGAAAGCACCATAAAGTGCATATCGTATCATAGGATAGATACACTGATATATTATCTCTTCCAATCTTAACCACATTTGAATAGGGTAGCTGCTTAATTTTAAATTTCTCGGACTGAATAAATCACATAACCAATGGCTCAATAAAAATTTACTTATAACTTAATATATTTATAAATAAAATAATTACAAAAACAAATATTTTTATTTCATAAAATTAACACGTTCATTATATATTTTACATCTATGATTTGATTCTAAAATAGGGTCAATAATGTTTGATGTTAACTGAATTCTTCTATGGAAACGGTGTCTATCGACGGCAAAATTCTCCCAATACCTCATTCTCGCGACTCTGTGCTCTTCGGGCCACATGACTATAAAATGAATTTTATCAGGTTCATCACTAAATCTAACTTTTTTCATTATGCGGTGATTCTGAATAATCTCTCAATTTATTGTTCTTTTATACATTCACTTTTAAATACATCGGGGTAAATATACATAAATTCCAGAACCATACAAATATTCTCACTATTGGGATTTCCTTGAGGTTGTAGCACTTTTAAAGCATTAATGATAACATCACCATCCATATTTTGTATTCCGGTTCTTATAATCTTGAAGTAACTTGTAAAATGTTGGTTTTTTAACAAATCCAATCTATAATTAATAAGCGGTAGAAAGCACCATAAAGTGCATATCGTATCATAGGATAGATACACTGATATATTATCTCTCCCAATCTTAACCACATTTGAATAGGGTAGCTGCTTAAACTCCAGAGAAAAAAATCCTTCATCTATCGGCTCCATATTTTCTCCGGTATATAAATAATTTGTTATTATTCCTTGGTAAGATAAAAACTCTTTCCATTCTTTTTCATTAAAGATAACCCAATCATTTTTGTTACCAAATATTTTAATAATCGGAATAAATTCAATATCGTATAGGAAACCCACAGACACGAACTTGCACTTTGACTTATTCAAGCTATATTTTCTTTCACCTACAATAACACGTCCTGGTGTACATTTATCATTTTGTTCATTTTGGCTCTCAGAATACATTTTCAAAAGTGATTTTGTTAGCATTCATCACTGACTTTATTTGTTTTCCCCTACCACACATATCACGTGATTGTTTGTCTGACTTGTTTCGATAAGCTTGTAGACTATTTTTAGAAATGACGTAATGTTCTATTTTTAGAAATGATGTCATCGACAGATGTGTTTTATTTTTAGGAATGATGTAATGTTCTATTTTTAGAAATGATGTCATCGACATCTGGCAACTATATGTGGCTATTTTTAGAAATGACGTAATGTTCTATTTCTAGATATGATGTCATCGACTTCTGGCAACTATATGTGGCTATTTTTAGAAATGACGTAATGTTCTATTTTTAGATATGATGTCATCGACATCTGGCAACTATATGTGGCTATTTTTAGAAATGACGTAATGTTCTATTTTTAGAAATGATGTCATCGACATTTGGCATATTGAGGTCAAGGTCATGTCCTTCACATTTCACATTTATTTGCGCTCTCATTATATCACTACTTGTTTTGTCGTTTTCTATGTGATACCAACTTGTATGTAACACTCTGTATTATCATAATTTTATTGGAAAATAAATACATATTTTACATACCAGCGTTTTATTTTTCCTCATCTTTTCAAACTTACAATTCAAAGATTAGAAATAATAATACTCAATCATACGTTACAAGTTTTATTAAGAATATACACACATAACATTACAATACGTTTCACTGTAATTTTTGCATTTGCATTTTTTAAATAAATTCTCCGAGGCTTCATTACTGTAAAACGCCGAAAACTGTTCACGTTCTTTCACATGGTCTACAAGGGCTGTGGCATGTCCTTTTCTGCGATGAGCCTCCAGCGTATAAATATAGTTGGACGTCTTTGGATTTGAATGCTTGTTTAAGGGGTCATAATCAATTTTAGACAGCAAGGCAAACGATACGGGTTTTTCGTCTTCATAACGTATATAACACGAAGGTTGCTTATCCAAGTACCACTGATTAATTAACACATCGTCTTTTACGTCACGTCGTCACGTTTTACGTCACGTCTTACGTCACGTAAAAACTGGATAACCGTCACGCGAAACTGGATAACCGTCACGTAGAAACTGGATAAACGTCACTCGAAACTGTATAATCGTCACATAAAAACTGGATAACCGTCACGTGAAACTGGATGACGTGACGTCTTCTCCCGTCATCCAGTGAGGACGACATTTACGGTAGTGAGCGGGTCGTAGGCCTCCTCCTTGTACTCCCAATTGACGACGAGAGGGAATTAACGTAGATGCTGGGGTTGGTGAGCATGCTGAAGAATTCCGCGGAGTTTCTCACGAAGGATGTTTTGGGATGATTCTCTCTCTGTCCAAGTTTCCCCCAGAAGCTGTTTAAGATGAGTTTTGCGAGAGACCGTAGCCCTGGGTTCTCCACGATCTCTGCAAACTCCAGCTCGACGTCTTCCCTTTCGAGAAACTGCTCAATATAACGCTCCCTGTATGCCTGACTAGAGCAGTGCGCCGGCCACCCGGACGCCTGCTGTTTCACGGAGATAAACTTGTTCATCATCCCCGTGAATAAACCAGATACATTTTTGGTCTTATCGTACTGCTGAACGTCGTAGCTCCAGATCTCGTAGATCTCCAGCAGACGATACCCTTTTTCAACGGCCTTTCGAACTTCATCTACCACCCATACACATGTGAGAGCTCGCTCTTCGTCACTATGGCACTTGCCCTTATTCATGTGTTCTCCGTAGGCGCTACAGAGAACAAGCTCATCTTGGCTGGGAGCAGAGGGTGGTAGAGATTCTGGGGCGGGAGGATCTTGCATTTAACAACCCCGTTTACATTGCGAAGATCTGTAGGGCATTCCTCACCCACATACACCTTGGGGTGTCCTACGGGGAACTTGCCGTATTTGCAGACCCAGGGGTAAAGGGAGCAGACGTCGACGTATTTGATTTTCTCCCCTGGGCCGCACTTGTAATACTCGAAAGTATTACCTGTACGTCCTCCGTAAAATGCGTCTCTGGGGTTTAGCGGTGTCAGCGTAACTAAGGGGTGATTGGTAGTGTAGTCTTCGATTTGCCTGTCTTGCGCCATTAATCTTCTAAACGTACACTCCCACATCTCAACGACCTCGTAACCAAGGTCTCGAAGTCTTTGTATCTTTGCAAGGGTGGCTTCGTGTCGGGTGCTTAATGTCTGGGAGGGGTTTTCGTGTAGGGACTTGTCTCTATTATATTTAAAGCAGTTGGGGCAACCATGGAAGTAACACCCGTGAAACTCAAACACCTGTTTGGTTTCAGGGTTGTAGCCATCAACTTTGACCCCTGCGACTCGTGCTTCTTTGTCTTTGGCAGCATGAGAAATGTTGAGGCCCCTGGTGTGTTCCTCCCATACCAACCATTGGATGGCTATCTTGCTTTGGTTGTCGCGCCATCTGTAGCCGCCTTTGGGGATGATGCTGATGGTGTTTGGCTTGAGGAAGTTGCGCCTGTACACCTTATTGCACGCAGAGGCTATGGTACAAGCTTCCGTGTACGGGCAGATGTTTCCCATTTCCATCAGCTGCTGTCGGAACTTGAGACATGCGGCCGTCAGGATCTCCACGTCCGAAATGCAATATTCGACGAGGTCCCTCTGCATGTTAAACTCGTCGTCCTTGTGGCACTCGTACTACTCGAGGAACTTGGAGCGCTCTTCCGGTTTCATATTATCGGGGTCATAGTATTCGGCGGCGGGTAGGGGGTCTACATAATTTTGGTTGGTTGCGATGTTGAAAAGATGGGGGAAATAGCCTTTCTTGAAATTATCGCCCAAGCCGAAAGCCTTGGGCAGCTTAGATAGAGCCATGGGGAAATAATTTAGGCTGTCTAGGAACTTTACATTATCCATAACCATGGAAATTATTTTCGTCCCTCGCATGATGAGTTCGGGGGTGAGGTCCGTTTGCGTCAGGATGTAGTTTAAGCAGAACTGGTGGTCGAAGACCTGCCCGTTGTGTGCGACGACCATCACCTGCTTGAATTATTTCCTCATGGTCATGAGGTGGTGGAGGAACGGTGAAATGGGGTCGTTGAACCTTAAAATCTGCAGTCTAACCCCACATTTACTACAGATTTTCTGCGGCGTGTTGAGGCATATGTTGCAGCATTGCTTAAAGACGCAGAGATTTGGTTCGTGCAGGAAGGAACCATCTTCTTGCGCCTTCTCTTGTCGCGTCTCCAAGTTGTAGAAGACAAAGAGAAGGTCGGCTGTCTTCGGCTTCCTTGTGTTGGGCTGTATGTAACACAGGTGGTCTGCGGGCACGTGGGCGTTGCGTATCTTGCAATATATCTCCCCGCAGACATGAGTTCTGCCATTTTTTACCACCTTAAGACGTCGGGGCAACGGCGAATCTGCTCGCAAACCGAGCTCTTTCCCATTGATCCCTGGCTCCTATGATTGTCGTAGCATTGCTGCCCCCTGAAGCCGCGCTGACAATCGGAACAGGTGACAGCGATGTCTTCGGGGCATGCGAGCGACTGTTGACATGACGGACAGATACCACCACATCTGTGTTTGTTTTTAGTATTATATGGGACCTGGCACCTCTCACAATAATAATCACAGCAGAAGGCAGCCGTCAGCGAAGTGATAATATTATAGTGCCCCTCGTGATACATTAAATTTAACGAGGGACCCTCTGTGGAGCCCTTAGATATCACGTCACGTCCCTTGCTACCGTACTGGTACACGACGATGCAGTAGTCGGAGAGATACCGCTGGAACTCCTTCAGCTCAAGGATACCTGCGCCCTCTTCAGGTATGATAACCCCTGCCACCCGCATCAGGTGTTGAGCCCTTTGCGTCTGGATCTTTCCGATATCACGACGCACCTTGGTTTGGTCCTTGTCTTTGTCCGCGTAGGCTTTTGCTACGACGAGAGCGCACGGCAAACACATATTGTCTGTATTGTTTATGGTAACAATACCACGCCGCTTGGCACACTCCTCGTCGAAGGCGATGTACTTTTCACCACGTCCTTTCCCTGTGGGCATACGCACAGAAGTCACGCCCAGACAGAACGTCTCGGTGTTTAGTCCCGAGGAGTTGGACTGGTATACGGCGGAGATGACGTCCCATACGTCGTCGTAGGTAACTTCTTTAGCGGGTTTGAAGCGGACCCAGCCATCACCTCTGGCGAAATCCCTGGAGCAAAAGGAAAACGCTACTTGATCTTCAGGACTAAGGTGTTCGGTTCCCCGTTGAATTATTTGGTTGACGGCTTCCTTGACCCATCCAACAGGCTCTTCGCCGACGGGTACCGGCCTAATTTAAAATTCCAAGACTGGTCCTTGTAGATTGAAACGACGAATTTTTTCACGATATCTTTGACGATGAAAAATTTAGACATCTTGCAGTGGTGATAGTAGGATTTCTGAAAGATACCAAATCTGATAAAACGCTTCCTGACGAAGGTAATTTGAAAGTTGATTGAATAGCGTCGAGCGCGAGAAGAAAACTAACTGTGATCTTAACACTTCAAAGATTGAAGATAAACTGACTAGAAGGTCGTAGGAGGCGCTTGGTTATTACCTTTCAGGTAACTAGTGTCGGCGAGATATAATTTTAACGCCTGAAAAGAGGTCGCGTGATTAAGATGTGTTTGATTAAAAAAAAATAGGGCGTGATTCACACAAAAAGTATTCGAGAAAAATTTCGAATGTGAGTAAAATGAAAAGATAGTGAGCGCTTTCTACCTACTGGGCAAGCATATCATCGACCCGAACAAAAGAAAAAAAATTGATGAGACCCACTATATTAGTGCATTAATCAAGACGTTTAATTTGATATGCGACACGATATATTTTAAAAAACTAACCTTTATTGAAGAAGTTTTAACACCTTTTTTAAAACTGATAATTATTTCAAATGTGATAACAGCATGAGGTAAAACGTGATGTAAATAAAACATGACGACACCTTATACGCGTAGTAAGTTACTAGTTGAGACACGTCGGTTACTCGTTCATTTTTCGCTAATCTGTTGAGGTGTACGGGGGGTGGTGCTTGCGAGATTAAGAAGAAAGGAATTTGGGTTGGTGGACGACTTTCTTTCTCACGTTAGCGTAACTGGTACCGCTTTCATGCGGGAGAGTACAACCCTTGGCGTCTGTAATACCAGTCCTAATAATATAAGGGTTGTCGCCTTCATAGATAACGCTTTCGATTGTGCACATACGTGCGAACATATTTTGTGGAATTGAGTTGCCGGGGCTTCCAACGAATTATTGTTAAGCCCTCTATGGCTATCAAAGAACCGCCCCCACCCTATTACCTGCCTCTGTAGCCACCCTCTGAGCCCGTTTGCCGCTTTCCCTTAGCCAAACTGGTAAGTTTTTGTAATTTTTTTAAAATTGTTTCAAGCCACAAATTACTAATTATTTTATGTAGAAATTACACCAAAACTATACTTTATTAAAAAGTAGAAACATTACGAAAAATTAAATATTGAAAAATTTAGTTTTATATTTTATGAAAAATTAAATATAGAAAAAAAAGTTTTACTCTTACGCCTGAACTGATTATTTGAAGTCACTTTCCGATGCAAAATAACGTCAAATTGAACTTTAATAAAAATACAGAAAAATTATTTATTAAAAATTATTTGTGAAAATTAGGTCAAAACTATACTTTACTAAAACTGTACTTTAGTAAAAAATTAAATATAGAAAAATTAAATATGGAAAAATTATGAAAAATGACGTCGAACTGAACTTTCATGTAAAAAAAATAGTGGCAAAAAATTATTTTACGAAAATATAAAATCTGAATATTTTTAATGTAAAGTCAATAGTAATTTTTAATTGTAAGGAAAGACCCTATAACGTTCAATTATGTCCTACAAATTGCCTATCATCGCAACGGATCTGTTTAGTTTGAAACACTGCCGTGGAGATGTTTGAATGGTGTTACGAGTATGGCACCAAACAATTATATTTTTGAATTTGCCCTAACCACAAGACAGCCATTTTTATCTTTTCGTTAGCCCGAAGGCCTTTAGCGTTCACGGGCGGATTTAAGTTTTTCGCATGTGGCTGAAACCTTTTTTCGTTGGCAAGGAAAAATCCAATGATTACTCTTAGGTAATTGTTTAAGATAGACCCCTGCACGACCACGGGTATCTGTATCAAGCCAGCATATTTAACTGTGTATTGTATCGGTACAAACGACACGCCCTACAATGCAGAAAAATCTAGCAACTTACCCTTCGTATGCCTTGTTTCTCCGTGTCTCTGTCGTTCTGTTGTCTTGTTTTGAACTTCATGCCTCTGTAGCCAAAATTTATGCCTTTCTGTCCTGGCTAGACTTTCAACTGTCTATAAAATTAATGCTTTCGATTTTTAACCATCATTTTGCTGTTGTCAAATAATTTGTGATTTTTATAAAGACCCTGTAGCTATTGTTTTTTCTCAACTGCTAAAATAACACCCTGTATAATGGTGGAGTTAAATAAATAGAATTTTTCTTCGTTAATAATAAACGTTTAAGTGAATTTGCTGAATTTAATAAGCGGTTTTACCAGCTAAATTATAGTTTTTAGAATGCTAATATGTTTTGGGATTTTTTAGTCACCATTTTGTTATTTATGTGAAATAATTTGTGACTTTTTATAAAGACCCTATAACTATTGTTTTTCTCAACTGCTAAAATAACACCCTGTATAATGGTGGTTTTATATAGAATTTTTCTTCATTAAATAATAAACGTTTAAGTGAATTTTTTAATATACCACCAATTTTGGTAGGTGGTTTGATTGCCTTGGAATTTAATGCTAAAATTTTTAATTATAGAATTTTCATTAGAATAGGCCATTTTAACAGCTAATTATAGTTTTTAGAATACATGGACTGTACTAAAACTAAAAAGCAGCATGCTATCTGAAATTATGAAATTCAAAGCAATTTACCCTCTGTCCTCTATTTTTGCTTTGTTTTTTGGGTTTCCATGCCTCTGTCGTCCTGTAGCCAAAATGCATACCTTTCCAACACTATTTCTGTCCTGGCTAGACTTTCAAATACCTATAAAATTAATGCTTTAGATTTTTAGCGGCCATCTTGCCGTTGTTAAATAATTTGTAACTTTTTATAAAGACCCAGGAACTATTGTTTCTTCTCAACTGCTAAAATAACACCCTGTATAATGGTGGTTTTAAATAGAATTTTTCTTCGTTAAATAATAAACGTTTAAGTGAATTTGTTTAATATACCACTAATTTTGGTATCTGGTTTGATTGTCTTAGAATTTAATGCTAAAATTTTTAATTATAGATTTTTTTACTAAGAAAAATAATTTCATCTAATTGCTGTTTAAGGTTATAACTGCAACAATGCTACGTTTTTATGTTGAAAATATGAATATACACTTACCTTTCTTTATCCAAAAGGACACACAAAAAAAGCACCACTCATTATAATAGTCCAAGAAACTTTTAATAAAAAAACACAAGCAGAGCAGACTCGTTGATTATATGATTAAATAGAAAATTGATTATTAACAGTCTTAGCCAAGAAAAGCCGGGGCGCATAGTGCAGTGACTGCAGTTGATATCGCCAGAACAAGCTACTGGCTATTTTGCTGTCATAGCTGTTTGAAAGACAACTTTGCTAGTGACTGCTAGCTTGGTTTTCTTATCAAACACCTAAGGGGAATAATTTCTATTTCAATACAATTTAAAAAATAAAAGAATTTGCCATTGGGCTTTAATACGAACTTAACATGGCATTATTAAGATTTAAGACGAAAAAGGATTGACCATTTCTGTTCTATTTTAACAAACATTCATAAAGTATAAGCATGAAACTTTTAATTCCAGTAAATATTTTTAGCCGTAGTCTGTATAATTAAATATGCCCGCATATTTATTTTCTCATATGATTACATTATTAGTCCCGCGCTCCACTTGTAGCGCCATCTACTGACACGCGCTTGGCCGCGTTACGAACTACTATTGTGAATTGAAAATCGCGGCT